ACCAGGGGATTTGGTCCTCAAGAAAGTAATCTTCGCTACAAAGGATGCATGTGAAGAGAAGCTGTGACCAAATTGAGAAGGACCCTACCGCGTAACAGAAGTAGTGAGGCCAGACACCTACAAGATCTAGAATTTTGCGGAAAAAGTCTTACTCCATCCATGGAATGCAGAGCACTTAAAGAGTTATTATCAATGACACCTTGAGAGTATCAAAGTAGTAAAAGTTGGGACTTGATTTGATTTTTAAGGGCGTTACCCAATATTCAATATACTTTTTTGAGAATTTTTACCCAATATTGCTTTTTATAAGCAATAAATCAATAAAATTTTCTACGCTATTTACTCCAAAAAGATCTTTTATATTTCATTTCAAAGGAGTATCAATACAAAAATAAGGCCAAATATCGTCTTTTCAAAAAATCAAAAATCAAAAAAATCAAAAAAATTAAAAGTCCTAAACACTCTAACTGCTCTCACGGTCGTCCTCCACCTCCTCCTCGTCATCATCAACATCATCAGATCCCCCCTCATTACTATTGTCAGTGGGCACGAAACGTGAGAAGTCAATGCTAGGGAAGGCGGCAGAAACCTTCCCTCGGAGATCCTCGAAACCATCAATGAAAGCATCTGCGAGGCCATTCTTCAAGTCTTCCTCAGCAAGGGAAACTCTCTCCCAAGCAGCCTTCAACTTTGCCTCGGCAACAGCAGCCTCTCTGAGCATGGCCCCCCCATGGGCCTCTGCAAGCTCAGCCTCCTTGAGCGCATTCCTCTCGTGGAGCGTTAGAAGCTCAGCCTCAAGCTTAGTTGCCCTCTCATGGGCTGTAGTAAGCTCACTATCCCGGAGCGCGTCCCTCGCACGGGTCGCCAAAAGCTCAAACTCAAAATTTGAAACCCTTTCATGAGCCGCCACAAGCTCACCCTCCCAGAACGCGTCCCTCTCACGGGTCACCAAAAGCTCAGAATCAAGCTTGACAATCCTCCCTGAGCAATAAGAAGCTCCCTTTGCACAAGGCTCAGATCCAGCTTCAGCTTGTCATGATTATAGGCCCTTGAAAGTAAGTAAATAGAGGAAGTCGAAACCTAAAAAAAAAAAAAAAGGAGATAAGAGGTTGAGAAAAGTCAAAAACATAGGAAACGACTAGAGAAAGGGGAATAGCGGACCCTCACTTGAGCCAGGCCTTCCAAATACGTATCGACGATCCTATCGGTACCCGAAGCACTAAGCTGAGAAACTTCGGGTCCAAACACAAACCTCCCAAGCCTTGCCTTGATGGCCGGCGGACTCCCCATCATAGGACCAGCCCAAATCGGCATTCCTGTAAAAGTTCTCGCACGAGGAGGGGATGAAGGTGGGGAGGATGTGCCCGGCAAGGAAGATTTTGGAGTAGCAACTGGAAAAGTCACCAGCTGAGGAGGAACCACCGTGGGAGTCACTTGGGGGGCATCATCCATCCTTGCCACTTTGGAAGAGGGATGGCTCCTACTAGAGAAACGGGACACCACCACCCTCTTACTTATTGTAAGAGTAGAGAAGTGTCAGGTAAATGAAAAAAATACCGAGGGAAGAAGAGAATTAAAAGAGGAAACTAGCTCACCCTTTTTCTTCGAAGAGGAACCACCAGATTTCTCAAAGGGAGCAACGACCCTAGTATCCTTNTATATATATATATAAATAATAAAAAAAAATGTGCAGCGTACCGGGTTTTCTAGTAGCACCCCAATGTGTTGGTACCAAAGCTCTGTCGACTTTTATAGCCCACTCTCCACCAACAAAGAAGAAACAAGATTTTCAGCCGCCACAATTAGAACGCGTTCCCGTAAGCACTGTACCATTTCTTGTGGTAAAGTAGTACTACCCCCTATTTGGTGCAGGGGTTTCACTCAAATTATATGCTGCATGAAACTCTNCCCGTAAACACTGTACCACTTCTTGTGGTAAAGTAGTACCACCCCTTATTTGGTGCAAGGGTTTCACTCAAATTATATGCTGCATGAAACTCCATAGGAGAAACATCCTCATGGTGCACTTTTCTCCACAATGCAAGAAAGCCCAGCAGAACTCTCCAACCATTGGGCGCTAGTCGCCCCGGAGTCAAGGAAAAATAGTGCAAAACGCCACAAATGGGAGAGGACATGGGGAATCTTAACCCAGCCTCAAACATCTCCTCGTAAACAACAATATCACCAGAAGAGTCATCGCAAGCAAGCTCGCCCAACTCAGCCAGACAGCACAGCATGGTCGGAGGAATGCGATAAGTAAAAACAAGCCTCGAGATATCTTTATCTAAACGAAACAGACTGGAAAGGGTACTTACTTTAGACTCGTCATCATTGAGTCCCACTTTGCCATTACGTTTCTTCTTCCGGGGCCGTAAGGAGTAGTCTTGAGGAACTTGAATCGGAGGAGTCACAGTAGGGTCTTGATCATCAAAAGCAGCACCCAAAGCTTCCTTACCGCTTGCAATGTCTACCCCAACACTTGGAGGGGTGTTTGACTGCCTTTGCTCGCTAAAACAGAGTTGCCCAGTAGCTGGAAGGGTGCCTAACCCTTCAAAATTTCACAAAACAGCATTTTCGGCACCAAAATCAGCGCCTACGATGCCCGAATCAGCGCTTGGAGTGGCGCTCAAACCTGCCCATGCACCCAGGCTGCTGCCCAGCTCCCTTGCTGCACTCCTATTGGCATGGACAACTCTTTTTCTAGCCTGCACAGCACTGCCCAGCCCACCAGGCATCACGCGCGCGCTGCCCAGTCGCGCGTTTGCGCTGTCCAGACCATCCAGGCTGCTGCCTAGCTCCCTTGCTGCACTCCTGGCCTGGACAACTCTTTTTCCAGCCTGCACAGCGCTACCCAGCCCACCAGGCGTCACGCGCGCACTGCCGAGTCTGCCAGACTGCGCGCGCGCACTGCCTAGTCGCGCGTTTGCGTTGTCCAGTCCATCAGGCGCGCTGTCCAGACCATCTTGCGCACTACCCAGCTCCCCTACACTACCCAGTCCACCTCCTTGCGCGCTGCCCAGATCGCCTCTCTGCGCGCTGATTCATGCGAAGGTGTTATCCAGCAGAGAGGTTTGTGAAACTGAGCTGTCCAAACCACCACCTTCGGCACCCAGGCTGTCCAGTCCACCATTTTCGGTATCAAGGCTGTCCAGGACAGCACCCGAATGGTCAAAACCAGCCTCCAAGTTTCCTAAAATGGTGCCTACCTCCGCCCTTTCTTCAATCTCCACCATTCCCTCTTCAATCGGCATTGCCCACTTGAGAAACTCTACTAGAAAGGAAGAAATCCCACTCTTGGAAGGATTGAAGAAGAACACACTTTTCACTCTCAAAGTTTTAACAAAATGGGTAGGATGGAGAAGAAGACTATATTTATAGTCTAAGATTTTTTAAAAAAAGAGGAAAAAAGCTCAAATTGAAGATTATGGGCCTTCTTCAAAATAAAGTGGGAAAGGTTTGGAGTTTGCACCAAAGCCAAAAATATACAAATGAAGAGTCATGCCTCCTTCTCAAGCTTTCCTTGAACACGAGACATTGGGGGGCAAATGATGAGTCAAACCCAAACTGGCCCAATCTATGTGCAAAGTCCAAATCTCAATTAAGAAGCCCTACCTCATTTAAAGATCCACCAAGCTTAACATAGCTCAAGACCAAGTTAGACTCTTTGCTTAGCCACGTCATCAAGGGGAGAGCATGAGAAGTCTTATCTGCACCACCGAAGGAAACGGTCCACCCTCACCATATCTTTGACCGTGTCTTATGAAGAGATCCTCAACTACCTCGTTCGTTGAGAAGAGATCGGAGCTCCACCGAAATGGTTGCTTAGTCGCTGGAAAGTACCCCCAACCTGTTAGGGAGCTACTATAAATTGCACAGACCATCAATACTTAGGAGGAGACTGATTGCCTGACATCACACCTTCCCTGACTCTCTCTTCTTCCTCGAAGCTTGTATTCTCTTTCTCCACACCCTTAAATTAATAAAGTACCCAACAACGAAAGTCATTCAAGAGTGGACGTAGGTCGAGTTGACCGAACCACTACAAATCTTGTCTCCTCCAATTCTCTCTTTACTTTTACTGCATTTATTATTTACACTTGACAGGTGGTATACAAAACCATTTTTGTGCATCATCAGTAACAAATATGAGCTGTAAAATCAAATATCTTGAATTCTAATTTTAACTACCTTATCTTTGATTTGACCAGAGAGGAGATTAGTCGAGGTGTGTGTAAGCTGACTTAGATACCTTGAACCAAATTTTTTTTTTAAGAAATTGAGTGTAAGCCAAACCTTTGATCCAAACGGAATTGAGATCCAACGCTCACAAACTACTTCAAAACAATGGCCTACACCAACAATGAATTCAACAATGGTAATTGGAAGCAATGAGATGGTGCTGAATCTGTGTGTGTGTGTGAGAGAAAGAGAGAGAGAGACAGAGACAGAGCAACGAATGGATTAGGCTATTAGGGTTGTGATTATTTTACCTTTCATACTAGATGTAACGGGTTACACTGGAGTTAGCATAATTTGTATGAACATCCAAAAAGTTTATAGTATCAAATCGGGCACTTGAAAGCTTACATAATTGCCTTTTTGGCACCACCACCCACTAGATCTTGTGCTAGTCGTCTCTTATTTGTTCTTAATTCATGCTAAGAGAACATATGGGTAGTCTTCGTCAAAAGTTCGAGAATAATGTTATTTGGACTTAAAAATTTAATTTAATGATGTGATTTCATAGGAATCAGTAGATCAATACCAAATTTCAATATTTAATAAGGCATGTAGTCAATCCAAATGTCACAATAAATTATGTCAATAAATTAAATTTCAATAACATTACTCAAAATTCAAAATAAAAAAGAAACATTGATGCTACTCAGCTTCCTTAGAACACTATAACGAGCATCAATACACAGTATTGGATTTCATTCTTCAAACAAAATCAATCAGCTAAAAACACAAAACAGACGAGACGTAGAATAATTAACAAGATGGACACGAAATTCAGCATCTTTTCCTCTTTTTTAGTGCTGTTGGTGGCCCATGTTGCAGATACCCAAGCTGGCGTTTTCGACAAACCTAAAGCAGATATCAAGAAGGTGAGAAACTATGAACTTCTTTACTTTACGTTTTAAAAAATAGTATTCGAAAATAATTTTTGAGAAGAATTTAAAAAAGTGATTTTAATATTTTTTGAGATAAAAAATTTTTTTAGTTAGATAATTTCAAAAATAATTTTACAATACAAAAAATAGTAAAACCTGTTTGAACATTCTAAATATATGTTAACTTTAAAATATATATCTTATCCTTTTTGTTTCTAAAATTTTTAAAGAAAATTTTAAAAAAAGTTACACTTATTTTCTATTTTTTTGACTCAAATCTCATTTTTTTTTTAAATTTAAAGAATAATAATGCTAAACAAATAAATTTTGGACATTTTTAAAATTTTAAAAATAAAAAACTGTTTTCAAAATAATAACCAACCATGGCCTATACTTTTATTTTTTATGTTTTCTCTTATCTCGAGGGTTCCTCACCGTCATCTCCATCCGTACGTGATGGTAACTCCTTGTGCGGAGCTCCCCCGCACAATACTCAAAGTTCTATTTATTTGGACCAAAAACTTTTGTGACAAATTTTAGCCGCATCTCTTCTTAGTATGTCGTATCTTTAAAAATAGATGTTGATGTAGTAATAAGGGATCGGGCCGGCCCAACCTTTAGACAACTAAGTTATTTGTTTAGGGCCTCAAATTTAGAGGACTTCCACAATATTTATCCTTTTAGTGTAATAAGCCTAATTTTTTTTTATTTTTTTTTCTATTTTAGATATAATTAAAATTTTTAAGGTTCAAATCAGTATCTAAATTTATTAGGTCCAAAATTAGTCTCTACTTGGTTAAACCCAAATTTTAGAGACCTTCATAAAATTTACCACTTTAATATAATAGTCCGTTTTTATTTTTATTTTTTGTATTTTAGATATGATTCAAATTTTTAGGACTCAAATTTTAATAGTTCAAATCAATATCTAATTTTTTTTGTCCAAAATTACTATTTCGTTTGAGCTTTGATTTAAATTTTTCTAAATATTTTTAGTGTGTTCAATTTATATTTCACTCATTCACATAGAAAAGTTATATTCATTATTTTTTGTGGTGAAAATCTATAAAATTGGTTTTTTTTTGTCTTAATATAAATTTCAGTCCAAATAATTTATACTTAAATTGTTTATGTTATTAAAGTTTTGTACTTCATGGGTGCACATTACTCATGAATAAAGAATGATTCTTTGTTATCTTAAAATTATTTTTTGCTCATTAAATTATTTATTGAAAACTTAAATTGATGATTTACAATCAACTAAGAGTGAATGAATTAACAATATTATCTATTAAAAAAAATTGTTGTCAAAACTTGAGTATAAAAACTTGATCAATATTTTAAATTTTTAAAAAAATAAAAATAATTTTTTAAAACATAAAAAAATTATAAAAATTTTGTCTAGGCCCTGCTTGACCTTGGGCCGCCCTTGTAAGGGATTTATAGAGTCTTGAAAAGAGAGAAGTTGTGGTGGTCTCCCCCAAATCGCCCAGATTCCACGAGTAAATTGAAAGTTAGATCTACATTGAATCTCTCCTCTATTTTTTTTATCTTTATTGACATCTCTTGTCAGATTAACTGTATTAATTAAAATATAATTTTATTAAATTTTTCATGATAAATTTTAGAAAAAATTTTATCCACGCCCCTTTTTGATAGACATATATTAAATGAAACCCCTAATTTTTTATGTATTAAAATTCTATTTGAGCTAATCAAAATTCATTTTTATGTATTAAAATTCGAATCGATTAAAAATTATATTCTTTTACATATTAAAATTTGAATCGATTAAAATTTATTTTTAATTGACTCGAATTAAATTTTAATTAACTTGCATTGAATTTTAATTGGTTGAATTTTGATATATAAAAAATATAAATTTTAATCGGATTAAATTTTAATACTTAAAAAAATTTTAATTAACTTGAATAGAATTTTAATTGACACAAATTTTAATAAGTAAAAAAATATAAATTTTAATTGATTTGAAGCAAATTTTAATTTGTAGAAAAATAAATTTAAATCAAGTCAAATTTTAATATGTAAAAAAATAAATTTTAAATGGCTCAAATTGTAATCGAATTTTATATAGAAAGATTCTTTGAGTTTTATGCAAAAGCAATTTTAGTATTTTAGATGAATTTTTTTTTTTTTTTGTTAAAAACGGTGGTTTAACGGCAGGGGGTGTCAGTGATGTTTATACATAAACTAAAATTGGTGTCACACCTATTTTGAATAATAGAAGAAGTGTTCTCGAAAATATGTAAATTATAAAAGGTGTGGTTGAAATTTTTACCAAGTTTTATGTTGATTTCTGCTCGTATTTCTCTANAATTATAAAAGGTGTGGTTGAAATTTTTACCAAGTTTTATGTTGATTTCTGCTCGTATTTCTCTATAAATTTATCGGTTATTTTATATCTGACTGACGGTGATTATGAGTTTATGTTTGTGTTTTTTCGACTTGAAAACTGAATCTGAGCCTGAGCTTCCTCACCAATGCAATGTTACGCGGCGTTACTTCTCTGAACAGCAAATTGTTTCACGTTAATGTTTTGGGCTGTAAAAATATAACGTTCGAACACTTTTCAATCAATGCACCAGAAAATGCCCCCAACACCGATGGAATCCATGTTGGACGTTCAAACGGGGTTCAGATCACTGATTGCAGTATTCGAACAGGAGATGATTGTGTTTCCATTGGTGATGGCAGCCAACAAGTTTCGATCACAAGAGTAACTTGTGGACCTGGCCATGGTATCAGCGTGGGAAGTCTTGGCAAGTATCCAACGAAGAACCTGTGGTGGGAATCTTCGTTAAGAATTGCACCTTAATCAACACGATGAATGGCGTTAGAGTGAAAACATGGCCAGCTTCCCCTGCTGGCGTCGCCAGTGATATGCATTTCGAGGATATTATCATGCAAAATGTTGGCAATCCTGTCCTCATTGATCAACAGTACTGCCCATATAATCAGTGCAAACAACAGGTACAAACTGTTAATGTATATATATAATGATAAAATGTTTGTCTCACATCGGTTCAATTAGAAAACCTTACTACTCTCTTCTCTCTTGTACTATAAAAACACCTCCTTATGTATATTATAGATTATACCAACCTTCAAATTAATTTTGCAATTTCTCGTGTTTTTACAGATTCCATCGCGGGTTAAAATCAGCAAAGTTAGCTTCAAGAACATTAGGGGAACTTCATCAACTCAGCTTGCTGTACCAACAGAATCCACCTACCTGTACCAATTCTGTATAATCTTCTTGATTCCATCGGCTCCCTGTCCCTGAGGAAACTCCGNTCAAGCTTGTTTGCAGCAAGAGCATGCCCTGTCAAAATGTGGAGGTTGGTGACATCCATCTCACATACAATGGAAAGGAAGGCCCCGCCATGAGCACCTGTGCCAACGTGAAACTAACTCTTTCAGGCAAACAGAATCCACCTACCTGTACCAATTCTGTATAATCTTCTTGATTCCATCGGCTCCCCGTCCCTAAGGAAACTCCGATGGAAGTCTAAGGTTCTTCCCGGTTTTTTTTTTTAAGTTCAACGGCTATAGGCGTCTGAGTTATCTTAAGTGTACTTTGACTAATCCCCTTCTTAATCCCGACTTTCATTTCTTACTAAATAGAAAGAGTTCCTTTTTTTTTTATGAGGAGAGCTAACTTTTTTCTTTGCAAATTTATGCTTTGAAAGCATTTTAAGATGGTAGGTGAATNTACCAACAGAATCCACCTACCTGTACCAATTCTGTATAATCTTCTTGATTCCATCGGCTCCCTGTCCCTGAGGAAACTCCGATGGAAGTCTAAGGTTCTTCCCGGTTTTTTTTTAAGTTCAACGGTTATAGGCGTCTGAGTTATCTTAAGTGTACTTTGACTAATTCCCTTCTTAATCCCGACTTTCATTTCTTACTAAATAGAAAGAGTTCCTTTTTTTTTTATGAGGAGAGATAACTTTTTTCTTTGCAAATTTATGCTTTGAAAGCATTTTAAGATGGTAGGTGAATTACAATTGTAAATAACGACAATATGATATGAGTTTGTGATCGTAAATGATATCAGATTGTTGGAGGCCTTGGTGGGCATTAAACTACTAGTGATGTTATGCCATTCAACAAGTGTTATTTTGTTTCGTGATTTTTATTCTGAATAAGAACGTTAAAATATAGCACCATCAGTTAATACGATACAAACACGATATAAAATTTAAAAAGTTTGGATTTTGAGGAGGGGGAGAGAGCAGGGTGGAGCCAGAATCCTATACCAAAGGGGGCAAAATCTTGAAAGAAAAAATTTTGAATTTTAAATACAAAGATTCAAGAATAAATTATTAAATAAAAAATAAAATCAATACTGTTCAACCTCAACAAAATACAGACAATAAGGTACAAAATAATATTTATTTTCTATAATTCAACTCAATCAATAAATCTTAAAAATTATCTATACTCGACTAATNGGAGAGAGCAGGGTGGAGCCAGAATCCTATACCAAAGGGGGCAAAATCTTGAAAGAAAAAATTTGAATTTTAAAATTCAAGAATAAATTATTAAATAAAAAATAAAATCAATACTGTTCAACCTCAACAAAATACAGACGATAAGGTACAAAATAATATTTATTTTCTATAATTCAACTCAATCAATAAATCTTAAAAATTATCTATACTCGACTAATTTTACGTTAAATTTCTCAGCTCAGTTGAGATCATTTCTTATCTTTTTGAGGAATTAATTCATTGGAAGAGTCAAAAATAATTTTGGGTCAAGACATATTACCATTTACATCTAATTGTGATACCAGACACGTGCCCCTAAATTATTCAAAACCCAAGGAGGTCAGCTATATGCAATTATTTTTAGAAAATCAAGATAATGTATTATATATATATATAATAAATTTGTTTTACTAGGTTAGCGGGTAGTAGGTCACTACTTGTTCAAAAATCTGTCCCAGAGAGAGAGAGAGAGAGAAGCTTCTGCAGTTTTCTTGGACAACTTCTACACACATAGTTGGGTATTTTTATAGAAAAGAAAAGAAAGACCGACTAGGGAAACCAACTATAATCAAAGGAGAATTGGGAGCTTGAGGGAAAATTGGCTAATGTTAAAGTAGAAACATGGACTATTTAGGTGTAGTGGAGGGAAAATCAAAAGGATTAGGCTTGATAGCAAAGAGCTTGCCCATCCAAAATTTTGGATCATCAACCATCTAGATCTTTTAATTATCAGGGCGACGTTAAAATTTTAACACAAGACTTCTTATTTTGATATCTTATTAATGGTCGGCCTCATGCCTAAGTCATTTAAGTGGCCACCTAGAGTCCCTTATTTTCTATAAATGGTCCACAAATAGCTTAGATGTATTTTGGATAGGCTGAATCAAAAGGCCATAACACAGATATACCCAAAACAAGTTGAATTGGTAGGCCAAGTGCTTTGTTCTTTTAAAATAGTTGATCTACTAAATAAAAATCTAAAATTGTATGCCCTACCCTAAAAAATTGTGCCAAGCCTGGCAGCATGCAACACTGACCCCATAGTACTCTCTCTCTCTCTCTCTCTCTCTCTCTTTCTGATGCCAATATCATAATACATTACCTCGTCGTACCTCATCGTCTCTCTTGCACGCCAATGCTGTAATACATTACCTCGTCTACGTGTGTGTGAACACAGAACTCCAAAGCTCCATTTTAGTTCCAACCTCTAGCAATTGATGAAGGGAAACTGTACCCACTGCAATTTTAACTACTTTGGAATTTATTTAAAGTTTTGAGAGATTTAATATTTTTTAGGAATTGCTCAATTAAAATAATAATAAAAAAAATTAGGAGTAGTTTTATATCGTAGAAAATAATTAGTGGAATTCCCCTATTTATCAAAATTGGATTTAAACCTAGCTAATACTACTCGAAAGGGGGGCATGTAGCTCTTTGTCATTCTAGAAATCATATTTTGTCCTCTCAAAAATTAAAACTCTTACATTACACATTGGATTATTTCTTTATGNATATTTGTCCTCTCAAAAATTAAAACTCTTACATTACACATTGGATTATTTCTTTATGTGGTAACCACGTACCCCTTTTTACCGCTTTTTTCACAAATTTATATCCGAGGCAAAAGGGACAAATTACAACTGATCAAAGAAATTTAAGCTTCAAGCCGAAACTTTTATTCTTCAAAATGACAAACTGAAGTTTTAATATCTTTCCTGAGCTAATTTCTATCGCCCAAAAAGACGAGATAATAATTCGTATAATAGTGACATTACGTCATCTTCGCTTAGTCGTATAACCAACCAATTATAAATAAATATGTAAGACTAGTAGATCACATCAGATTTTATAATTACCAATAATTTTCATATTCAATAACTATAATGTAGTATTAGTGAGGTTCATTTGTTCTACTTGTTTATTNTTTATAATTACCAATAATTTTCATATTCAATAACTATAATGTAGTATTAGTGAGGTTCATTTGTTCTACTTGTTTATTCACTATTAGTCAGTAACATCACGTGATAAAATTGATATGACATAAGAATATTTACTAAAAAAAGTGATTAAACTCAAGCACTTAAATATCACATTGAAAACTAGTGGTCAAAACGAATCTATGGCATGAAATGTTTTTTTCTAAGCCACCACCCAAATTGNTTCACTATTAGTCAGTAACATCACGTGATAAAATTGATATGACATAAGAATATTTACGAAAAAAAGTGATTAAACTCAACCACTTAAATATCACATTGAAAACTAGTGGTCAAAACGAATCTATGGCATGAAATGTTTTTTTCTAAGCCACCACCCAAATTGCAGAAGTACTTATTGCTTGTCTTGATATTATTAGCCAAGTATGTTTTGGTATGGGAAAGAGAGGTCAATATGGAGAGAAAAGTTCAACCAGAACCTTTCAACCCCATACAAACCTCAGATAAACGAATTAGCTGCAATATTAGTTGGAGACATTAGTGGTATTGAGCTTCCTTGTAACACTATAAGTAGTTCCTGCACATAACATTTGTTTTCATTGCAAAACGAAAAGAGCTTAGAATACAATAAGGATCACAAGAAGAAAATGGTTATGAAGATTGGTACTTCCTTTGTGTTGTTCTTGTCATTGCTTGCACACGTCGTAGACGCCACTAGCGTATTTGATATCAGCAAATATGGGGCAAAGGGCGATGGCAAAACAGATATCAGGCCGGTAAGAACAGTACATTTATGATTGATAGAGAATTTTAATCTCATTTGGATAAAATCAATTTTGAATTTGAAATATTAGTAGACAATGTTGTTAGTTGTTATTTACTATGTTATACAATACACAATAATATAGTATGGGAGCAATATCATTTTTATTACCATAACCACTGAAACAACGTTGTTTCTTATAAATTATCATTTCTTTCTTTTAATGTCATACAAACAAAACCCATGATAGTGTTCTGCTTTTTCGATCCTTTTTGTTGATGCTGCTTCTTCAAACAAAGAAAACCCTAATTGAATATACATATAGGTTCTTCTTCTTCTTCTTGAACATGCATCGAACAGGTTCTTCTTCTTCTTCTTGAACATGCATCGAACGATATGATGAGTGAGTTGAAATAATATTTATATTATTTTTGACTATACGTTTTGACAACCTTATTTGTAGACCTTAATGAATGTTTGGAAGGAGGCATGTGCATCAACAACTCCAACAACCATTCTGATTCCAAAGACCAGTTATGCATTAAATCAGATAGAATTTAAAGGCCCTTGCAAGGCTGCTATCAATTTTGAATTCCAAGGGACAGTGAGAGCTTCCAGTGATATCAGCCACTTCGAGAACAATAGTCCCGGCCTCCCCGGATGGATTACTTTTGCATACATCAACCAATTGACAGTGTCAGGTGGTGGAACTTTCGATGGCGTAGGAGCCCAAGCTTGGCTAAAAAATAATTGCCAAAAAACCAAAAATTGCATCGAACTTCCCGTTGTAAGCTTGTCTAGATAATTCTTTTGGTTTTACTTCTATACTATTTTTGTAACTTGAATTTAAGTTAACTAACACGGGTTTATCGTGTTGTTCATGAACTAAAAACAGAGCCTGGTTTTCAATTTTGTCGACAATACAAGGATCAGGGGCATAACTTCTCTAAACAGCAAAGCTTTTCATTTACAAATTTTTGGTAGTAATAATGTAACAATAGAACATGTTACAATCACTGCACCTGGAGATAGTCCCAACACCGATGGAATCCACGTTGGACGGTCAGTGGGAGTGAATATCACAGATACGACCATAAGTACAGGTGATGACTGCATCTCCATTGGTGATGGCACCCAACAAATTCATATCACAAAAGTATCCTGCGGCCCTGGCCATGGTCTCAGCGTGGGAAGTCTTGGAAGGTACGAAGGCGAAAAAGAAGTGGTGGGAATCTTTGTTAAAAATTGCACCCTCACCGAGACAACGAATGGTGTAAGAATAAAAACATGGCCGGCCTCCCCGAAAGGCGCTGCCTCCGATATGCATTTTGAGGATATTATCATGAACAATGTTGCCAATCCTGTTCTCATTGATCAAGAGTACTGCCCTTCTAATCAGTGCACAAAACAGGTACTAAAATGAAAGAGAAAAAGAGCAAACTAAGCTTACACCATCTCAATTATGCCCCTCGTTTCACATTGCCCTCTAAACTATCCGCTTTCCCACATTTCATGTTCCTGACATAGTACTTTTCCAAATTTTCTTACAACCTAACATTCATGGCCTTTGTCATCCTCTCTTGTTTACAGCATCCGTCCCAGGTTAAGATCAGCAAAGTTAGCTTCAAAAACATAAGGGGAACTTCATCAACTCAGGTTGCTGCCAAGCTTCTTTGTAGCAAAGGCTTGCCATGTGAAAATGTGGAGGTTGGCGACATCAATCTCACATACAAGGGAGTCGGAGGCCCTGCCATAGCCAACTTTACAAATGTGAAGCCAACGTTTACAGGCAAACAGAATCCACCTTTTCACGCTTGTTAATCTCAACTCCATTGAATTGGGTTAGCGAAAACAGTCTTTCCGCATATGGAATAAAGCTATGTACGTCTGACCCGGACCAGGCTTCCCAGTTGTGGGCTAGCTTGCCTGCCTATAAAAAGGAGTTTTCTCACCTTTTCCTTTTCTCTATTTTTTTCTATCCAAATAGGAAGAGTTTTGTAGTATAGAGAGCAAACTGTTCTCCCTACAAATCTCCATGCCTAAATTCATGTTTAGCTTATATGTAAGCCATAAATGAGAAAAATCTCATATTGTAATTCATTCTGAGAAATTTAATCGGAATTTTGGAATATTTTGTTGTGTCTCATAATTTCTAAAATGTTACCTCATTTAGCAAGATTCAATTTTGTTTTTTAAGTTTTCGTTCGAGGTTTTCTGAAAATAATTATCTAAAAAATAGAGGTAAAGTTATCTATCATTTACCTTATTTTGTTATACATTTGAGCCGTCATTCAAGATAACTCAAAGTGGCTAGGGTATATGTGTTATATACATGTAGTCCCCAAGAAATGAATATCATGGGCATTCGAAAAAAAAATGCAATTTATCATTATATAACAATCTCAATTATTTTATCAGATCTAGGTTTAGGGTTTTAGGGTCACATGTTAGAATAATCTTCAAGTGGCTTGGATATTTTGATATTTTTAATAAGATATTTTAAATAGCTCAAGCTTGTAGCTAACCTTATAATTATCTTGAAGATTTGTGGGGGAAAAAAATCAATTCCACTAACCATTTTTTTCTAGTCAACTCAATGATGGCAGAAATTCAGAATGCATAGTGGAAAAGGAAGGTACTCGACCCACAATCCAACTAAGGCAATTTTTTTTTTTTGTTTAATGGTCAGGTGTTCGGGCCAATTTATGTATATGTCGATTAATTTTTACTATAGTCCTGTCAAAGACAGATGATTCACGCTGGAATTAAGGTTTTCATGAAGATAAATTTCTCATAATCTGTCCTCAAAAAATTCCCAAAATTCAAACTTAAGATGTTTAAGTTTGTAGCTCGCCCAAATTACCACTTAAGATGTCTTGGGGTTAATTAGAGTAAGTATTGATGAACTTGATAAGGCCACTTAAGTTACACACATGCAACTTAGACACGATACGATTTATTATCAATATTAATATAAATTCATATACGGGCATTAATACGGTTATAATCTATAAGTATTATCTCTTTATTAGATTTAAAACAATAATTGGAAATATCTTCATCTAGAACTTTGTGATACATCATTTAGATATATTGAGCGTGTTTCATCCATTACCATTACTTTTACAAAGGTTTATTATCCCTTTGTGGGTACCCAAGGAAGAGTAGTGGGATAAGCAATACCTCAAGTCAAGTCAAGGAGGATATGTCTGAAATTGGTTAACCTCAATCACTTACTTTAGCATCCCTAAGGTCCAAGATAATCATGTGTGTTTGAAGAGACCCAGTAGCTATGGCTGTACTAAAAATTACAATTTTTTAAGATTAAAAAAATAATTTTTTTAGGGTGCAAATCACAATTATAAAAAACATCATCGTTTCTAAAATGTTAAAATTGATCATATGATAGTTATAATTTTTAGGATTAATTGCAACGGTGGTCCCCAATGTTACAATTGCATCGCATTGGTCGATGATATTTTTAAGTGATCTCCACGTATTACGCCGTCTAAATTTTTAAGGTTTTTTCTCATGTGCTTCTTACATTCTTCCAAATAAAGGATGTTTTAGACAAATTAGTGTCTACTTGACTTAAAAATTGTGACAGTAGTTCCCTAAGTATACTCTTCGTCTCATTTTGACCCCCAACATTACAATAGTATCACATTAGTCCCTAATC